GAGTATCTCGCCCACACGGCAGAGCCTGGCAAGCTCCCCATGATGTATTCGATATGCCAAACACAGTAACAACAAAGTCTCCAATGGAGACGTTACTGGGCCAGCTCGAGCAAATCGATGAACAACGGGAGGGCCTCGAGCATTTTTCATACTAGTTTTTTTCCTATTCCTCCTTTCATTTTATTTTCACTGTATTTTAGTAACTTTGTTAAAGATTTTCTCTTAATGATTATCAGAAATTACAATTACATTTGGTTTGTCCTTTTGTTACAGCAGAGTGACATGGTGTTCTTATGGACAGCATGTTAAGATTAGCAATGCTAGGGGCTGGAGAGATAATAGAGCGGGTAGGGTGATTACCTTGCACACAGCTAAGCCAGGTTTGGTCCCCGATTTCCCATATGGTCTCCCAAGCACCACCAGGAGTGATCCCTGAGTGCAGAGTCAGATCCCTGAGCATCACTGGGTGTGGCCAAAAAAGAAAATAAAAAAATTAGCATGCCAACCATCAGTAGGCCTTCTGCTTTACCGTAAATCTAGTACAAGGAAGGCAGGCAAGGTCAGAAGCAGGAGTAAAGGTAGCGACTTCTACAGTGACCTGAGCTTATAAACATTAAGTAGTCTCACCCCCAGGTATTTATTTGGTTTTTGTTTTGGGGCCACACCCGGCTGTGCTCAGGGCTTACTCCTGATTCTGTGTTCAGGCATCATTTCTGGCAAGTTCAGGGGACCATATGGACTACTTAAACCAGGTCCATGGCAAGCAAGACAAGTACCTAACCCCCAGTACTACTTACTACAGTTCTGACTACTACTCTGGTCCCACCACTTGGTTGTTTCTGCTATCTGATTAGCTATACACTATACGATCATCTGATTGAAACAAGCAATGTTTGCAAATAAGGCCAATCAGCTTGCATGTGCCCTTATAAGGGCATGTAAGAAATGATGCCAGTGGTCCTTAATGCAAAAAAGGACTGAAGGATAACCAATCAGAGCACGTATGGAAATGACACCTTGTAATATACTCACTCCGGCAGAGATATGGTTTCTCCCTCCTGGTCCTCTCCCGGCTCAATTCCTCCCTGGCAGTTTGAGCACTTCCCAAACAATGAAAGAATCTTCAAATAGTTTAACATGATTCGCCCATTTTCTTCTATTGTGGAGGGAGTCTGGGGAGTGACAAGTGGTGCTCAGAGGACCCAGGGCTACTCCAGGCAATTCTCAACCTGGCTACACCAGGCCTTCAGTGCTTGGGACTGGCAGGGCAGTAATACACAAGACTTACTTGATCCTGGGGGCATCAGGCTGGCCCCAGTTGTGCTGGGGGACCATGTGGTGCTGGGACCAAACCTGGAGCCTTCACATGCAAGGTATACACTCCTGCCCTTTCCGTTTGTTTTTAGGCCACACCTGGAGATGCTCTGGGCTGCTCCCGACTCTGCACTCAGAAGTCAATCCTGGGAGCTGGAGAGATAGCACAGCGGGTAGGGCGTTCGCCTTGCACGCGGCCGACCCGGGTTTTGATTCCCAGCATCCCATATGGTTCCCTGAGCACTGCCAGGAGTAGTTCCTGGGAGCAGAGCCAGGAGTAACCCCTGTGCATCGCCAGGTGTGACCCAAAAAGAAAAAAAAAAAAGAAGTCACTCCTGGTTAGTGCGCAGGGAACCATATGGAAGAGCAAGCCCAGGTTGGCTGAGTGCAAAGCAAGCACCTTCCTGGCTCTGTTATTGCTCCAGCCCCTGCTCCTGCCCTGAGTAATCTCCTTAGCTTTCACCTTCCTTCTTAAGCTGTATGCTGTTAAAATACATTTTATTATCATATTTAAAACGCATTCAAGCAGTGTCAAGGTCACGGTCCTCCCGTTGTTCATCGATTTACTCCAGTGAGCCCAGTAACGTCTCCATCATGAGACTTGTTGTTACTGTGTTTGGCATATTGAATACATCAGCCCGGCTGTGCGCAAGGCAAACGCCCTACCCCTGTGCTATCCCTCCAGCCCCAAGCAGTGTCAGTTACTTACATATTTTCTTTTTGTATCTTCAAATCTCATTGTATTATTTACTTTTGGTTCAGTATGTGACAGATGATCTACTTTGTTTCAAATTGTCTATTATTTTAGCTTCATATGTATATGTATGTATATATATATATATATATATATTTGCTTTTTGGGTCACACCGGCGATGCACAGGGGTTACTCCTGGCTCATGCACTTAGAAATTAGTCCTGGCGGTGCTCGGGGGGACCATATGGGATGCCGGGAATCGAACCCGGGTCGGCCACATGCAAGGCAAACGCCCCACCCACTGTGCTATTGCTCCAGCCCCTATGTGTGTGTATATTTTTTTGTAGTGCTAAAATTAAACCCAGGGTCTCACACATGCAAGGCAAGAACTCTACCTCTCAGTTACATCACCAGTCCCTTTTGTTTGGAGGGGTGGGGATGAGGGGAGGGTTGGGTCACTTCCAGTGTTGCCAATGTCTTAGTCCTGGCTCTGTGCTCAGGAAACACTCCTGGTGATGCCAGGGATCAAACCAGAGTCAGCTGCAGACAAGGCAAGTCCCTTAACCCTTGTACTATTTCTCTGTTTCCCTATTTTTAAAAAAGAGGCCACTTGGGCCGGAGCAGTAATACAGCAGGTAAGGCCCTTGCCTGATATGTGGCTGACCAGCGTTCCAAACCCTGCCAGGAGTGACTGCTGAGCCCACAGAACCAACAGTAAGTCCTGACTGCAGATGTGGTCCCCAGAGACCGTGTCTTGATGCCTAGGCCTACAAGGGCTGACTGTAGTGTGACATTTTGGCCCTTAAAACTCATTAACATAGAATCTATCCCTAATTTTTCTTTTCCCTATGAAACAGGAGCAGTGACGGCAGGTCTGAGTTCATCCACGGTTCCCAGGTTCTTGGATATTTTCAAGAGTGAAAATACTGAATAATATAGATGCTCAGACTCAAGAGTTAGAAAACAGAAATTGGAAGGTAAGAGGCAACACTACTCTGCAGATGAGGAACTCAGTATAGGACTAAATTAAGTATGGCTTGTATTGTGGAATTTTTATAGGAAAACTGGGTTTTTTGGTATTACTTATCCAAGTATGAGAGGAGTCCCATGTTTTCCAGAAATGTTAATCTGTATTAAGACCTACACCTTGTATGCAGTTAGGGTATTTTAGGGTATGTGATCCTCTCCCTGGGTGTTGTCCATTATCTCTTGGTCTCCAGTAAGTCACAGAGCTCAAATTGTCAGCTACCATGGGAGCTGCAAGAAACAGTTGGGCAAGGGTGGGGGGGGACTGACTCCCCATTTTCAGCTACTGCTTTTGGTCCAAGTGTAGTTCTTCAAGTGGCATCTAGTTTACAAGAGAAAGACAGCATTTAACTTTGCATAGACTGCTGGGTTCTGGATACCTTTCAAGGTTATTACTGCAGGAGAGTCTCTCCATATTCCATCACCCCAGTTTTAGTAGGCCATTTGACTCAGTTGATGCCTCCCAATGTAATGCTTACCCAACCCCAGATGGCAGCAAAATCCTAGCAATCCCAACTGGTAAACTCCTGAAAGACTTGTGCCATTACAAGCCTGATAATTGATGTTACCTGATATTGGTCCTACTGACCTCAACTGTGTCATAGTACAAAAGACAAGATAACATTTCAAGAACCTCAAGTTTACTATGCATAAGGCGCAAACTTAAGAATTTGATAGTTATTAATGCTAGGTGCTAAGGATACAAATTGTAAATAATAAACCAAACCAACCAGACTAGTTAGCACATGTGGCATGTAGTTCTGAAGACAGCAGCAATCCATGGCCAGCCAAAAGCTTTTATCACTATTTACTGGCTTTTTGGGTCACACCCTGCGATGCTCAATAATCACTCCTAGCAGTGCTGGGAGGAGCACTTGGGATGCCAGGGATCGAACCTGGGTCAGCCACATGCAAGGCAAAACACCCTACCCACTATAACTATCACTCTGGCCTCAGCCAAAAGTTTTTAAGGTTTTTTTAAAAAGGATCTACATTGCTTAAAGAACCAAGTCTTTTGTCATGTTGTTTTCTGGGTCATTCCAAGTCCAGCATGCTCAGCACTTACTCTGGTGGGCCTTCGGAGATATGGTCCTTTAAGTGGGGAGACTTTCCTTTTAGGATCCTAAGGGCAGCTCACATTGAAAAACCAACAGCTATCACTTAAGAGAACCAATTGATAAACTGAATAAAGGTGCCAGAGGCTAGTCCTAACTATTCACAACTCCTCAAAGAACTCAAGTTTTCATATAAGTATGTTATCAATTTGAGAAATTCAATCTCCCATGTAGTCAAGCTGGAAACTGGTATAGTTAAAAATACGTCTAGATTTCCTATTTCTGTTATCTAATTCTGACCCACCCCTCAAAAGCAATCATCAAAAATGTTCTTACAATGACACGGTGTAATCAACCAGACAAAATGAGAGGTAGTAATTATATGCCATTCTTTTAGTACTGAAAAAAAAAATTCCATATGGTCCCCTGGGCACCACCAGCAGTGATTCCTTAAGAGTAGAGCAAGAAATAACCAAGCATCACCCATGTGCCCCCTGCCCCCAAACAAGAGTTGGATGATAGTAAAGTAGGTAGGTCTAGTGCGCTTGACTGGTCAACGCCCCAGGCGCGATCCTGAGTGCAGCCAGGAATAAACTGAGTAGAGCTGGGTGTGGTACCCAGAAACAAAATATTTTTTGGGTCACACCACACCTGGCAATGCAGAGGGGTTACTCCTGGCTCTGCACTCAGGAATCACCCCTGGAAGTGCTCACGGGACCATATGGGATGCTGGGAATCGAACTTGGGTCAGCCGCGTGCAAGGCCCTACCTGCTATTGCTCCAGCCCCCAATAAAAATGTTTAAAAGCACAATTTAAAACAATATTATCTCAAAAAAGTTGACCAAACGATACTAAGTGTAATGCATGTCAGAACAGCTAATGAACAAAACAATCCAAAAACACTTTACATAAATTAACCCATTTATTACAGGCTAGCAATGCTTCAGATCGCAGGTCTACTGGTCTTTCAATTCCTTCAGTCTTCTGATGGCAGATTTGACTGTGACAGCAGAGGTGGTACTGGAAAATAGAAGAAATTGGTTTGCAATCTAACTGTTCACACAACCCAGTATATTGGTCTCATTTTCACATCAATGAGGAAAAAAAAGACTGTATTTTCAGGCTCTTGTAGCATCTGACAGCTAATCTCATGCTTCTGGTTTCTCAGACAACAGAGCACGAAGAGGGTTAATAGAATATGAAAGGTAACAAGACACCCAATTTAATTCAGTATCAGGGAAGGGACAAAAACACCAGCACACAGTATAAAAAAGGATAGATTACAATACTGAGGCACTGAACCGGAAGTGCATCCACCTCCCACCCCTTTAGGGGTGCAAGGCTGGCAGTTCCCATCACTACACCAGGAGGGCACTCTGCGCCAGCTGTTTCCAACAAGATGTTAATGAAGTAGGTGCCCGGGGGCACTAAATAGCACAAGTCTCCAAACTGGCACTGCACCTCAATCCTCAGGATACCCAATCAAGTCCAAAACCATAAGCTTCAAGTACTTCCAGAAACAGACAAGAGCTCCTAATAAGCCATCAGCAGATGCTCACCTGTGCTCCCCTCCCACCATAAGTTGCTTAAGTTCAAGCAGTGGGCTTGCTGTTCAAGCCTTGCCTTGACCCACTCCACCCCACCCCACCCCATTTACTTGTCTGTTTCTTTGCTTACTATTTCCATCCTGGAGAAGCCCCTGTTCTCTCCTGAACACACCCATCTCCCTCTTTCCCACCCTCACCATCTTTCTAAATTTAAGTTAACAGAAACTATCTTTTCCTTCACAGAAAATAAAGCTCTGGCAGTGTCCTTGTTTCCAGACGAACAAGCCTCAATCAAGACCTCTTCATTTCTATCAAAACACACCACCATGCAAATCAGGGTTCAGGACAAACCCAGGCCCTCTAACAAAATGTAATATTCGCGACGGCTATGATAACATCACCCAAGTCACTTTATTTCAAGTCGTTTAGGAACTCAGGTCAAGTCCTCAAAGCTTGTTACGTATTTATTTATTTTTTAAAGCATCTCAAGAATATCTGGTTTGGTTTTGTTCAAATTCAAACTCACCCCCTGGGAGATTGTCTGCCATGGAGGCGAGGGGTGGGATGGGGGTAGATACTAGCGACATTGGTGGTGGAAAATGTGCACTGGTGGAGGGATGGGTGTTTGATCATTGTATGACTGAAACTCAAAGCATGAAAGCTTTGTAACTGTGTATGTCTGTCTGTCTTCCCATTGTTCATCGAGTTGCTCGAGCGGGCCCAGTAACATCGTGAGACTTGTTACTGTGTTTGGCATTTCGAATATGTCATGGGTAGCTTGCCAGGCTTTGCCATGCGGGCAAGGTACTTTCAGTAGCTTGCCAGGCTCTCCGAGAGGGGCAGAGGAATCGAACCCGGCTCACTGGGATCACGGTGATTCAATAAATAAAACAAAACAAAACAAAAAACCCTCGACCCCACAGGCTGTCAAACCTAGACTTCTTTCTGCAAGTTCCCGCGGAAACCCTCCACATCCTTACTAAAAGCCCCCCCCCCCACCCCAAGAAATGAACTCACTTGTAGGTCCAGGCGCCCCCCGCGACGGTTTTCATGCAGGAACCACAGTGCCAAATGCCCACGGCCCGTCTCTTCATCTTGGTCTGTTGTAAAAAACAAATTAACAATAAATAATAATAATAATAATAATAATAATAATTCACCTTCCCCATGAACCTTCGTTGTGCTTAATTTTTAACTGCACATCTCTGACCAGCACCCAGCGCTCTGATGGAAACTCAGAAAAAGGAAAAAAAAAAAACCAAAACACCAAAACTCTGCATATTTTCTTATGCTGGAGTTTTGGTGACTTGCTCCAGCATTCCCAAATGCATCCTCCGGGGTGCCACCCCTGCCCTGGCCGTGGCCGTGGCCCTAGGGGAGGTGGCCAGCCCCCGCTTCCCACCCCCGTGGGCAGACAGGTCTCAGTGCTCGCCACCCCCGCCCAGCCCGGGAAGCCCCCCTGGGTGGGGGCGACCCCCTATACCTTGCCGCAGAAGGAGCATGTGTACTTGGCGTGCTGGCTGATCTCGATTTTCTTCACCATCTTCCGGAGGGAGGCGCCGTAACGCGTCCCGTATTTACCCACGATCCCCACCTTCTTGGTGCGTTTAGCCTATTAAAAAAAGGGGGGGGGAAAGGGTTAAAAAAAAAAAAAGTATTTTTAAAACAAGAGCGATCTGGGAGGGAAACAACGTGGGGACTCCCGAGCACCGAATAACCGAGCTCGTTGGAGCCCGGGCAAGCGAGCGGCGCGGCCCGGCCCGGCCCGACCCGACGCCCCGCTGGGTGCCCGGCGGCCGCGGCGAGGGTCGCCGGAACCGGGGAGGGGACGGCACAGGCCAGCGGGCAGCGGCGGAGATAGGGGAGAAGCCACGGGAAGGGCGGATGCGGGCGGATACACTCGCCGGCCTCCTCGACACCGAGACTCACCATGGCGCCGCCACACAGCTCAGGACGCAGAGAGGAAGGAAGGGAGCGCGCAGGCGCGGTTTTAGGCCGGCTAGCGGAAGTGACGAATGAGCAGCCCAGCTAGGAACTGAGCTCTATGACCCGGAGGTTTTTCTTGCACCTCCCCCCCATCCCTTCACAACCACTATCACTAAGGCCAACTTTGGTGTCATTAAATCAATCCAGATTTGCCAGTTTGTAAGGATGAACTACCGGGATCTGCCCTAGGCAGTCTTTCAGTCGCTGCCTCCCCTGTTCCTTTAGAGGAGACAGCCACAGAGAACTAGGATTTTTTTTTTAAGTCCTGGAAGTGGAGATTGCTTTGGGGTGACCAAGGCAATGTCATTTCTTTCCTTTTGTGTTTTGTTTGGGCCACAATTGGTGATGCTGGGGGGGAGGGGGGCGGGGGGCAGCGGTGGTTACAGGCAGTGGTGCAAGGGGAAATCATTTAGTTGCTGGGATGGAACCCGGGCCTTCATACAAAGCAGGCCTCCAGTGCTCTCGGCCAGCCAGCCAGCCTGGAATGTTAATTCTTTACAGGGAAAGCCACAGTAGGAAAGTTTTGCTGCCTTTTCTGAGAAAATGGTGAAATGCGGGCTGGAAGGATAGTACAGTGTGGGTAGGGTGCTTGCTTGCCTTCTACATAGCCACGGGATTCCATCCCTGGCACCACATGTGGTCCCCAGAGACCCACCAGGAGCACAGAGCCTGGAGTGAGCCCTGAGAGCTGCCAGGTGTGGCCCCAAAAGAAGAAAAACAACAGAAAATGGTTAAATCCAAGAAGGGGAAGCAGAGAGAACCAGAGTGAGCAGGTTAGAGCAGACCCATGGTTTAGGGACAAACAAGACTTAAACGCATTGAAGTGTACATCTAGATTCCAGTGGGGACTCTGGTAATAGCTGTACTTGACAAGTTGAGGATAATTCAAGAGTCTTGGAACATTTGTATGTCTCCCCTTTGGTGCACAAGCTTATTAAAAATTTAATTACGAAAAGTCACCCCTGGGAGGCATGGGATAGTATGGTGGGTCTGGCACTTGTCCTAAATACAGCAGACGCAGGTTCGATTCCCAGCAATCTCTATAGTTCCCCGAGCACCCCCAGGAGTAATTCCTAAGTGCAGAGCCAGGAATAACTCTTAACAGTTGTCAGGTGTGGCCCCCAAAATAAGAACAAACCAAAAATCCACCCTGAGATATAACACAGGGATACCCCATTAGCACTGCATGTGGATCAGGTTGGATGTTCAGCACTGAACAACCAGCACTCGTCACCTAAGTAACCGCCAGGAGTGATCCCTGAGCTTAGCCAGGTATGGCCCAAACACACTTTACATCCAAGTCTCAGTTCCCACCACTATTCTCCAACAAAAGAAACAGAATTCCTGGGAGAAATAACAGAGGATGGGGCCCTGGCATATATACAATTAGCATGGAGCATATTCAGAGCCATAGAAAATGTCAAAAATAATAAATAAGAGTCTGTATTGATGGAGTTCTCTCTTACATAGATTTCAAGGAACAGGAGAGTGCCCAGTGGATCAACTTTGGAAAACTTTGAATAAAAATATTAACTAATATTGATGTAGAACCCCAAGAATACTTATGTATAATGAATATTGATGTATGACCCCATAAATATTGATATATAACCTCAAGAATAAAATAAATACCCCATAAAACTATGGTGATGTAAGTGTACAAATCAGCATGTACGCGGAGGAGATAAATTTCTCTAGCAAAATAATTATGTGGGTTCTGTCTCTCAGGAAGGGGAGCATATGCACTGCTCCTTAAATGTGGGCTGTACAAAGCAACTCCTTTCAGATAAAAAGGGTCTATAAAAGGGGGGGAAAGAATAACATTAAGAGTGGAAAACCCTGATAAACACAGTCAGTAACAGTTCCAGGTTAATCTCAATAGCTATAACTCATATAGCTAGAATGTGCCCTACCCCCATGTGTAATGAAAATGGCACCTTATTTGTTATTTATTTATTTATTGCTTTTTGGGTCATACCAGCGATGCTTAGGGGTTACTCCTGGCTCTGCATTCAGGAATTACTCCTGGCAGTGCTTGAGGGACCATAGGGGATGCTGGAAATTGAACTGGATTGGCCGCGTGCCAGGCAAATGCCCTCCCCTCTGTACTATTGCTCCAGTCCCAGCACTTTATTTGAATGATCCTCTCCACCATGTCTAAGCCTAAGACCCCAGTTGAATTGTGAGGGGAAGAAAAAAAATCAAACTCCAACTGGTTATTCACCAGGTACTCCTTGAGTACCTGTGCAGTACACAAAGCTGTCAAGGTTATAAAATAAAGTCTGAAAAATTGTATAACTAAGAAGAGTATAAAGAGACATGAAAAACTAAACATAAAAGGGAGCCTGGGGCAAAGTAAAAACAATAGGTAAAAATGGATTTTAGGGTGTCTGCCTTGCACGTGGCCTGCCCGGGTTCGATTCCTTTGCCCCTCTCGGAGAGCCCAACAAGTTACCGAGAGTATCCCGCCCACATGGCAAAGCCTGGCAAGCTATCCCTGATGTATTTGATATGCCAAAAGCAATAACAACAAGTCTCACAGTGGAGACTTTACTGGTGTCCGCTTGAGCAAATCAATGAACAACTGGAGGACAGTGCTACAGTGCTACTTTTATTTATTTGTTTGTTTTGTTTTGTTTTAGGCCATACACAGAAATGTTCAGGGGTTACTCCAGGTTCTGCACTCAGGAAGTACTCCTGGTGGGGCTTGGGGGATCCTATAGGGTGCTGGGCATTGAACCTGGATTGGGTGCATGTAAAGCAAGAGCCTTACCCACTATACTGTCTCATTGACCTATATATGTATAAACCTTTTACTTCCTCATTATTGGGCTAATCCTGGATCTGTGCTCAGTTGTGACCCCTGCTCAGGGGAGCTTATATAGTGTTGGGGTTTGAACCAGGGTTGACCCAGTGGTCACAGGCAAGGCAAGTGGATCTCCAACTCCCCCTGAAAGTGGACTATAGTGGATGATAATGAATTAGCGTTGGTTCTTCATTGTAGCAAACGTACCACAGTAATCCAAGATGTTAAACGTCGGAGAAAGTGGGAGAGGGCCTTTAGGATCTGACTGGACTGTGGCCTCAATTTTTTTCTGAATCTGAAACTTTTCTCAAAAACCAAATCTATTTTAAACAAACACCAACAAAGTCACCCTGAGAAGGTCTCTTGTCACAATTGTCACAATGGAGACATTACTGGGCCCACTGGAGCAAATCGATGAACAACGGGAGGACAGTGATGTGACAGTGACCTGCTAATGAGGCCTCCAAGTCAGCAGGTGGCGCTCGAGCTCTCTGGTTCCCACCACAGGCCCCATCTTCCTCTGCCCTGGGAGAGTGAAGATCAGGAAGTCGTTTCTTCAAAGAGACACATCCTCATTTAAGGGTGGGGGTTATGATTTGGAGACAGACACCTCCCCACCAAAACTATGCTCTTGCCTCAAAATCAATAAATAACCCTAGAAATTCAAACAAAAGAGTCCAGATATGGGGCTCCGTGGGTATCATGTTTGTCTGGCAGATGTGGGGGCTCAAATTCAGTCCCTAAGCTGCCCCAGCCCTGCTGGGATCCCTGGAGCCTCGATTTGGGAGACTGATTCCCCAGCCACACCCAAGGGACCCCTGGACAATGCAACAACAAAGGGATGGAAGCGGGCTTGGGGGCGGGGAAGGGATGCAGCCAGGTGGCTTGTGGCTAGAGCAGCTTATTCAAGTCAATGAATGTTATTCGTGTTGGTGCAAAGGAATGGGCAGTGGGAGGAAGGTTGAGAAATGAGCTGTTTGAAGATCTTCCTGCCCGGTGGGTGGCCCCGGCAGAAGGGAGGCAGCAGGCTTGGTTGGAGATGACCCCCCACCCCCCTTGGTTCTGGAGGCAGTCAGAGCAGAGGGCAGGGTCCTTAGTGCCTCTAGTCTAGTTCTGATGTCAGAGAGCAAATCTTCCAACCCTGCCCACTTGGCCCGCTGCAGGGGGTCTGAGTGAGCCAGAGAAGTGGGGATGCATTAGGAAGAATGCCATCCAGTAACTGAAAATGAGGCACTCCATAACAGGAGGAAATTGTTCAGGCTCTGGGCAATTTTTGTCAAAACAATTCTCTCTAAATGGCAAGCTCAAGGATGTGCAAATAGCTCTCTCTTGTGAAATCAGCTCTAAGTGACTTCAGAGTATGGTGCCGCTCATCAAGTTCTCAATTTGTCTCATCTGTGGGCTAATAACTCTCCATCCCCATTAGGGGCGCAGCAGGCTTAGAGATTGTTAACTGGAAATGCACACCCATAAATGTTTCGGTAAAAGTCTCTGCTAAGTCACCCCTGCTCCTCGGGAGCACTCAAATTTTATTTTTCTGCCTTTAGAAAAATAAATATGTTTCAACTTGCCTCCAGAGGAGTTCTTGGAGCTGTTGAATCAACCAGTTAGTTCCCTGGAGGTATATATGGAACATGTTATTCTTGAAAGAAATCAGAAGTCCAAGCACCACCCCTACATCTTGTCTCTTGTCAGGGACATAAGGGACCCTTCTCTTGTGGAAAGGACCCCAGGTTCCACTCGGGGCATGCTGGGTTCTTGCTTGCCTTTCCCTGAAGAATCTGGTGACCACTGACAAGTGTGAGATGTGTTCCAAACAGAGAATGGCCCTGGGTCTCCATGGGGCCAGGGGGAGGGGAGGTCTGCAAAGGTCAAATACAGTCACCTCAACAGAAGGGATGGGGGAAGGGGTGTCTAAAGTGGTTCCAGCACACGGATTCCTCTTCCGTCCATCATCTTGCCACACACTGACCTTAAATGAAGCTGGAGAGATAGTACAGGGGGTAAGGCATTGGCCTTGCGTGCAGTTGACCCTATACCATACTCTGTTCTTCCGGAACTTCCAGGAGTAAGACCCAAGCACACACTCCCCAAATTTTAAACTCATTCATTCATTCATCATCCTGTTATTCGTCGATTGCCTCGAGCAGGCCCCAGTAACGTCTCTTTCATCCTAGCCCTGAGATTATATTCAAGGCTCTTTAGGAGAATGAGACCCATCATTGTTACTGGTATTTGGCATATTTGGTGCGCCACGGGGAGTTTGCCAGACTCTGCTAAACTAATTAAACTAATTCCACAAATATTTTTATTGTTGTTTTGGGGTGATGCGCAGGGTTTACTCCTGGCTCTGCACTCAGGGATCACCCCTGATAGGGCTCAGGGGAGCCCTGAGACGGGATGCCAGGGATTGGGCAGCTGCATGCAAGGCAAAGTGACCTACCTGCTGGACGACTGCTCTAGCACCTGTTATATTTTATTTTTAAAGTTTTTTTTTCTTTTGCTTTTTTTTGAGGGGGGGATCATACCTGGCGATGCACAGGGGTTACTCCTGGCTCTGCACTCAGGAATTACCCCTGGCGGTGCTGAGGGGACCATATGGGATGCTGGAAATCGAACCCGGGTTGGCCACGTGCAACCCCTACCCGCTGTGCTATATTGCTCCAGTCCCCTCTGTTGTATTTTAAAGGTTTTATTTTTCTTCTACCATCGTTGTTTTTTGTTGTTATTTTTGGGGGGCCATACCTGGTGATACTCAGGAATTACTCCTGACTCCACTCTCAGGAAGTACTCCTGGAGGTGCTCAGGGGACCATAAATGATGCCGTGAGTCGAACAGGGTCAGCCATATGCAGGACAAGCCCATTACCCACTGTACTATCTTTCCAGCTCCTAATTAATTTTATTTATTTTGGAGGGGTTTGGTTTGGGGACCATACCTGGTGGTGCTCATGGATGACTCTAGTTCTGCACTCAAGGGTCACTCCTGGGAGTGCTCAGGGAACTATATGCAGTCCTGGTGATTGAACCGGGGTTGGCCCTGTGCAAAGCAAGTGCCTATTTGGCTCTCGGTTGTATTTTAAAAAATGAATCTTTCGCACCGTGGATAGGCGTTTGCCTTGCATGGGGCCAACATGGCCGACCTGAGGTCAATTCCTCTGCCCCTCTCAGAGAGCCTGGCAAGCTACTGAGAGTATCTCGCCTGCACGGCAAAGCCTGGCAAACTACCTGCGACGTATTTGATATGCCAAACACAGTAACAATTGTCACAACGGAGACGTTACTGGGCCCGCTCGAGCAAATCGATGAACAACGAGAGGACAGTGACAGTGACAATGACACAGAGCATTTGCACGGGCACTGCATCCATCAGGATGCGGGTTAGATAGCAATTCCTAATTGGGAGGCAGCTGGTGGGGGTGGGTTGTGGAACCGGGGTGGGGGGGAGGGGGACACCTGGAGTTGCTGAGGCATACTCTCAGTTCAGTGCTCAGGGACGCTGCAGGGCCAGGGATACAACCTGGGGCTCCCACAGGCAACACATGTGTTCCAGCGCTTTGAGCCTGTTGGAGATAGAGCCCATCTCCTGAGCATATGCAGTGACTACTTTAAAAGGATAGGGTAGATTGATCTGACAGAGGCAGTTCTCTCACGTGTAGAAAAGAGCTTGTATACTTTCTGTAAAAATACTTTCTGTCCATACTTCTGTCCCTGTGTGTGTGCATGGGGAACCAAACTGCCCCTGGCTTCATCCCACCTGAGCTCTGTCACCGCTGGGATGGAGGGTTCAGAGCTGGAGGGTGGGAAGGGGAGGCAGAAGGCTTTCATTAGGATTTTGTGTGTTTCTGGATGAATTTACACATTTTTTTTCCCATCAAGCTCTCAGGGTTGAAAGGAGGCCCTGCAGGACAGTGCAGAAAACGGATAGACTTTTCACTAGAGTCACAAAGCAAAACCCTCGCCTTGACTGTATCTCGCTCCAGGTACAGAAAACAACTCCAGGTAGATGGTGGATCTCAGCATTCACAGGAAAACAACACGGGTTCTAGAAGCTGGAGTATTTATAACTTTGGGGACGTGCTGATAGGGGTGTATATTTGATCCTATTTTGTTAAACTGTAAATTTGCTTTACAAGCCTGTTTGTGTATTATGCTTTAGGTCTCTCAAAGGGGTGATAAAAAGAGGAAGCGTAATAAAGGATGTTTGGAGGATCCTCCCAGGAGGGGAGATGCATGTCGAAAGTAGACTATGGACTGAACATGTTTGCCACTCAATGCCTCTTTTGCAGACCACAACACCCAAAAGGAGAGAGAGGACACAGGGGATTGCCCTGCCACAGAGACAGGGGGGATGGGGGGATGGGGGTGGGAGGGATATTATCCATGGTGGTGGAAAATGGGCACTGGTGGAGGGATGGGTATCTGATCATTGTATAATTGAAACCAAAGCACAAAAAATTGTAAATCTACAACTTTAAAAAAAAATAAAATAAAATAAAGGGAAAAAAAAAAAAGAGGAAGCGTGTTTGGTGTTCAATAAGGAGCCTGAAATGCATTGTGGGGAAGGGGGCAAGTATGTGGGCAGGGATGTTGCAGAACCAGTAAGTGCTGGCCATCACAACACCCGGATAACAGTGTCGCAGTCTTGTCAGCATGCAGGGGTGTGCTTAGAATCCATTTCCTTCATTGAGACCACACAGGAAAAGCCGAAAGTGATAAAACAGGTGTGAGATAGGGCATTCATCTGGGGAACATAAAGTAACAAAATAGGAGACTAACACCCAAGAATAGCTAAGTACCAGGAGATTCATTCCATGGCTTGGAGGCCAGCCGCACATGCTAGGGGAAAAGGCAGCTCAGATAGAGAAGGGGGCACCAAATAAAGGGTGTTGGGAGGATCCTCCCAGGATGAGAGATGTGTGCTGAGAGTAGATTATAGACCGAACATGATTGCCACTCAGTGCCTCTTTTGCAAACCACAGCACCCAAAAGGAGAGAGAGAACAAAAGGGAATGCCCTGCCACAGAGGCAGGGTGGGATGGGGGGATATGGGGTGGGAAGGATACTGGGATCAGTGGTGGTGGAGAATGGGCACTGGTGGAGGGATGGGTACTCAATCATTGTACAACGGAAACCCAAGCACAAAAATTTGTAAGTCTACAACTGTACCTCATGGTGTTTCACTAGTAAAAATTTAAAAAAAAAATCTTGAATGCACTGTAAGAAGTGAGAAGGTGGTCAGATACCCAAGAGATACTACAGTGGGTAACACGTTTGTCTTGCACACAGCCGACCAGGGCTCAATCTCCAGTATCTCATATGGTTCCCTGAGCCCTCCAGAAGTGATCCCTGAGCACAGTGCCAGGAGTCAGGCCTGAGCACTGCCAGGTGTGTCCCTCTCCCCCACTGAGCAACAAAAAAGTCCAAACAAAAAAAAGTAAGAAGGTGGGGAACCGAGGATATCCCTTTGGCTCCTTTGCACATTACAGGTCATTTTATAAGCATTCAGATTATCTCTAGGCAAGAATGTATCAGCCGGGGCTGGAGTGATAGTACAGTGGGTAGGGTGTTTGCCTTGCACGCGGCTGACCCGGGTTCGATTCCCAGCATCCCATATGGTCCCCTGAGCACTGCCAGGAGTAATTCCTGAGTGCATGAGCCAGGAGTAACCCCTGTGCATTGCCAGGTGTGACCCAAAAAGCAAAAAAAAAAAAAAAAAAAAAAAACCCAAACAAATAAAAAATTAAAAAAATAAAAAGAATGTTATCAGCCTGGTGCCCACCTCCAACACACATACAGGGGTGGGATTCAGGGCCAGCCCCTTTGCTCGGATCTTCACTGCTTCCTACAGAACGAGGGAAGCCACTAAGGGAGAGATGAGATTCAAGCACCAGGGAGCCCAGGCAAGCACGTCCAACTTTAAGATAACAAGATTAAAGAAAGAAGCAGAGTGCGAGGCGGAGAGCTGCCCTTGCATGCAGTACACCTCTGTGCAACCCCAGGACGGCTTTGAGCACTGCTGGGTGTGACTCAAAATAAACCAAAGAGAACAAAGAGCAGGTGTTCGGGTGGGGCTGGAGTCATAGTACAGCAGGTGGGAATTTGGCCTTTGCACGCGGCTGAGCCAGGTTGCATCTTCGGTCCCCCAAATGGTCCCCCAACCTGCCTGGAGTGATCTCTGACCACAGGAGCCAGAAGTAAGCCCTGAACACTGTTGGGTGTGGCTCCTCCCCCCCAAAAAAAGAAGTGGGGGGAGGGTTGGAAACAATAGTACAAAGGTTAAGGTGCTTGCCTACCGTAAGGCCGCCAGCCTGAGCTTGAATGTGACCGAATGTAGTCCCCTGGACACCTAGTGGTAAGGCTGCTGGAAGAATGGGGTGCGTAGGGCCGTGAAACATACAAGACGAACCAAACCTGGGGGGGGGGCAAGGGGCCTGCCTGCAGATACACCCAAGCAGCAGCAGCAGCCTGGCACTGCCCCTTTCTAGGAGGCTCTGCAACCATGAGGGTGACCAGCATCCTCGTGCTGGCCCTCTCTGTGCTCAGCCGGAGGGCATGAATGCAGCTGATTCCCACCTTGGTGTGTGTGTGTGTGTGTGTGTGTGTGTGCGCTCTGCCAGATGGAATGAATGAATGCAGCTAAATACCACCTTGGAGTGTATGTGTGTGTGTGTTTGTGTGTGTTCGAGGTGGGGGGAGGGCACCAGGCTGATATATTCTTGCCTAGAGATAATCTGAATGCTTATAAGATGACCTGTAAAGTGCAAAAAAGCGAGGGTCCCTGAGGCCCAGACCCCTGAGCAGGGCAGGCGGGTTGGGGACCCAGGCCCTGCCGTGGGGACTGGTCACGTCCTATTCGGAGATGACCACACGAGTTGAAAAACAAATGCCTTCTTTTATTTTTTTCATTCTTTTATTTTAATGAATTCTGTGATCTTAAAAAATGACCTTTATTTTTTTTTGGGGGGGGGATTTTCCCTACCCCCTCCCACCCCGTACCTCTTACAGGGGAGAGGTAAAACTGTCCCAGTTATCGAAAAATTCAAATCTTCCCTTCTTGGGGGAGGCACTGGACGAGACGCTGTCATCCGGGGGCTCCTCCTCGTACTGGAAATCACTTCCGGGGTCAAAGGATTCCACGGCCTGCAGGAGCTCCAGGTCGCTCCCGTCCTCCTCAGAGGACTTCTGGAAGAGGTCATAGATCTTCTGCTGCTTTGGATCCTGTATTGGAAAGAAAGAGATGAAAAGATGAAGGAAGAATGTTGGTTACCCTGCAGACGGCCATGGTGTCTGGGTGGCACGCACATGACATCAATCAAGCACCCTACACAGCACGTGACATCATGCTTGCCAGCACATCATGTCACATGCGCCCCTAGTGGCGGGCGCGGACCCTGAAGTCAACGCCTTCGCCCTGGTGGCAGTCTTACTCCCTTAAGAGTCTGATGTGTTTTGCAAGAGAGGCATTGAGTGGCAATCATGTTTGGTCTATAGACTACTTTTAGCATGCTTCTCCCACCCTGGGAGGGTCCTCACAACACCCTCCATTTGGTGCTCTCTTCTCTATCTGAGCTTCCTTTTCACCTAGAACGTGTGGCTGGCCATCCATTCATGGAGCAAAATTCCTGGTACTAATCTCAGCCATTCCTGGGTGTTAGTCTCCCGTTTTGTTGCTTTATGTTCCCCAGATGAATGCAATCTTTCTGTGTCTATCCCGCTCTTTCTGACTCATTTCGCTTAACATGATACTTTCCATGTAGTACCACTTGTATGTAAATTTCATAACTTCATCTTTTCTAACAGCTACATAGTACTCCATTGTGTAAATGTATCAAAGTTTCTTTAACCAGTCATCTGTTCTTGGGCACTCAGGTTTTTTCCAGATTCTGGCTATTGTAAAGAGTGCTGCAATGAAACACAGTACCCAAAAGAAGAGAGAGAGAGAACAAGGGGGAATACCCTACTGCAGAGGCAGGATGGGGGGGGGATGGAGGGGGGGTGGATGCTGGGACCTGTGGTGATGGATGACAGGCACTGGTGGAGGGCTGGGCACTTGATCATTGTATAACTGAAATCCAAGCACAAAATTTGTAAGCCTATAACTGTACCTCATGGTGTTTCACTAATAAAAAAAGAAAAATAAATAAATAAATAAATAAAATTTAAAAAAAAAAAGAGTCTGATGTGGCTCTCTTCCTAGTGGGGCAAGAAAAGGATTGGGTGTGCCCCTGGAATTATGTCCAGGAGAAACCTGGACAAACAGAACTGTTAGCCAAAAAAGAAAAAAAAATCATTATAAAATTTTAAAAATATATATTAAAATAAACCTCTACAGGATATGAATCATATAGAAAAGTCTAAAGAAATGAAATGCTTTGGGAGCAACAAAGAAGCTGGAAATGTACTCTTTCCTCTATTGGTATTTCAACATGGAAACAGCTCCCGAGAGCTCACTTTTTCAAATCCTTTCTCTACTGATGAGTTGTTTAAGCTGCAGTCCTACTTCCAATATCAGTGTGGTGAGTTAGGGCTTGCAGCTAAATTGGAATGGTAAATAAAACATACTTCTACTTAATAGATGGAAAATCAGATGCCCACCGAAGGCATCTATGCATGGATAGCAATGGAGCAGTGCCAGAATCGTGTGCGTGTGTGTGTGTGTGTGTGTGTGTGCGTGTGTGTGTGTGTGGTGGGAGGTGGGGGGGTGGATGCACTTTACAACCACAACCCTCCATGAGGTTGGCTGGCATTGCTGATCTCCCTGAAATCTAAATTCCTGACCCTGATCATTTTAAAAACATCTGCAGGTACCATAAACATCCCAGTTTCAGAACACCAACTCTATCAAACCAGCCCCAGAACCATCTCTCTTTTTTTTTTTTAATTTTTAGATTAGTGAGACACCATGAGGTACAGTTGTAGACTTACAAATTTTTGTGCCTGGATTTCAATTATACAATGATCGAATACCCATCCCTCCACCAGTGCCCATTTCCCAACACCACAGATCCCAGTATCCCTCCCATCCCCCATCCCCCCCTGCCTCTGTGGCAGGGCATTCCCTTTTGTTCTCTCTCTCCTTTTGGGCGCTGTAGTTTGCAAAAGAGGCATTGAGTGGCAATCATGTCTGGTCTATAGTCTACTTCCAGCATGCTTCTCCCATCCTGGGAGGATCCTCCCAACACCCTTTATTTGGTGCTCCCTTCTCTATCTGAGCTGCCTTTTCCCCTGGCATGTGTGGCTGGCCTCCAAGCCATGGAGCAAAATTCCTGGTACCAATCTCGGCCATTCTTGGGTGTTAGTCTCCTATTTTGTTACTTTATGTTCCCCAGATGAATGAAATCTTTCTATGTCTATCCCTCTCTTATCAGAACCATCTCTTAACTTGCTTCTACACTCCAAAATCTGATCCTCCTCCCCATCACTGTATCAGTGTATCACTGTCATCCCACTGTTCGTTGATTTACTCGAGCGGGTGCCAGTAACGTCTCTATTCATCCCAGCCCTGAGATTATAGCAGCCTGTCCTTACTCATCTTTCTCAACAATTGGAGGCTCTTTCAGGGTCAGGGGAATGAGACCTGTTATTGTTACTGGTTTTGGCATATCGAATACACCACGGGGAGCTTGCCAGACTCTGCCTGTTCCTCCTCCCCATATACCTAAGTTTGATTATTTTTTTTAAGCGGGGACATAACTGGCCGTGCTCAAGGCTTACTCCTGACTCTGCAGTCAGGAATGACTCCTAGTGGGCTCAGGTGACCATACAGGGTGCCAGGGAGATAGAGTCCTATTCAGCCACGAGCATGGCAAGCACCCTGCCTGCTGTATTATTGCTTGGGCCCTTATACCAAGAGTTTTTTTTTTTAATTAGTGAGACATCAAGAGGTACAGTTGTAGACTTACAAATTTTTGTGCTTGGGTTTCAATTATACAATGATCAAATACCCATCCCTCCACCAGTGCCCATTTCCCACCACCACAGATCCCAGTATACCTTGAGTTTTGACAGTCTCCTAACATCTACTAGTCTCCCTGCTCACCTAGCCAGGACATTGCAACTATGGGCTTCTATGCCAAACCAGCCTCCAGCTGCTCTCCCATTGGTTCCCTCCTCTCTGTTTCATTCTCCACGCCTGGACCACTTCACTTGGTCCTGCAATTCCAGCCTGAGAGTCAGGCCTCTTTCTACTTCAATTGCTGACAGGTCTTTGGAAGGAAGTTTCCTCCAGGCCATCCTTTAACAAGATTTGGGTGGGGGGGTGTTAGGAAGGGGGGCATGTGCCTCAAATTTCAAGGCTCTTTCTAGCTTCTCAGACCCTTCTGACCCTTCTGAGTGGGATTTCCACAGTTTCCTCATGATTCCTTACCAGAAGCCTTTCACGCAGGTGAAGCTAGCTCCCTGGAAACTGACTGGGCCCGAGTGACAGTACAGCAGGTAGGGCATGTGCCTTGTAAGCGGCCGACCCAAGTCTGATCCTGGGCACAATCCTGGACCCCACACTTGGTTGCCCAAGTCCCACCAGGAGTTGTGGAGCATGGCAACAGGTGCCAGAGCTGGTAAGGTCCGTCCCTGCATAGCTGCTGAGACCTGTCTCTTCATAGTGACCCAGTAGGGAGTGTCTGGGTGCATCTTACAAGCAACCAGGTGTACCCAGAGTTGAGTCTCAACCCCCAAGAATTGTCACTTAACTGCATTCCTAACTGCAGCGTCTAGCCTTAATTGGGATTGGACCGGGGCAGAGCAGAGGTGGAAAGGTGATAGGTCAGTAATGCTAAACTTTAGGTGGTTGGACCATCCTCTTAAGCCGAGACCCTCTATAAAATATGTGTGTGTTCGGCAATAAAGTGAGTGGTTATCAGATGTCTCACAGAGTGTTTTTTTCACGCACCCGTCCTCTTTCGCCCTGTGTCTGCCTGGATCCGGTGCGCAACATGTTTGGGCACGTTGGGGAAACTGTTTCCCAACAAGGAGTGATCACTGAGCGCAGAGCCAGGGTAAGCCCTGAACACTGCCGGGTATGGCCCCCAAACCACCACCACCACCACCACCACCACCACCCAACCCAAAATGATCATGCAAGATTGGTTCAATTGACCTGCATCAACACCAGATGGCTCAACTGACCTGCGGCCCACATCCCCGTGCATTCAGGATCCCAGCCTTTCTGACAGAAAGTGATGCGCAAGATGACTGAGGTTGGTGCCACCTCATCCAAGGGTCTCTGCTAGGATCCCTTTATCCATCTCTCTAAACAACTGCAGGATAAAGGGAACGGTGCCCCCAAGCCAGTCTGTTCCAAGGGAAACATGCTGTCAAGTGCACATGACTGGGGAAGGGAGACTCACGGGCCAGCTCTTGGAGTAACGGATGGAGCAAGTCCTAGGTTCAGATAAACACTACCTCCCCCCCTCCCCCGCAGAACCCCCCCACCTCTGCCAAAGGCAGGCTTCCTGGTGAGATATAACCTCTTTTGCTTTTATTTCCCACACAGAGGCAACATTCCTTTTTCAGGTTGTTGATAAAATGTTCCGCCCCATTTTAAGAGAAAAATAAACAAAATTCATCAAAATATTGATCAGTCCCATATATTTTCCTTGCAATGGTGCTTTACGCAAACATTCTTAACTAATTCAGGGCGACTGAGGGCAAGGTAAGTAAGCATAAACATTTATGCATTATATACAACTCATACACTCTCTCTCAGTGGCTGAGAAATCTTAAAAATAGGTTCAATCCTGGGGCAAAAGAAAGAGTGCAGTGAGTAGGGCATTTGCCTTGCACTCGGCTCACCTGGGTTCAATCGCCAGTATTGAGCACTGCCAGGAGTAATTTCTGAGTGCAGAGACAGGAGTAACCACTGAGCATCTCTGGGTGTGGCCCACGAATAAACAAACAAAACAACAGGCTCATTCTTTCAAAGAGCATATAGTAACGAAGGCTTAAAATATTTACCTTATGGCTGAAATAGAGAGTCCTTTGAACACCTTAAAAAATAAGTGTTGGAGGGCCAGAGAGATAGTACAGTGGGTAGAGTACTTGCCTTGCATGCTGCCAACCTGGGTTCGATCTCTGGAATCTCATATGATTCCCTGGGCACTGCCAGGAGTAATTCCTGAGTGCAGAGCTAGGACTCACTGCTGAACAAAGCAGAGGATGAACCCAAAACAAACAAAAAAGTTTGTTGGTGAGACAATACAGCAACTAAGGCTCTTGCCATGAACATGGTGGGCCTGGGTTTGATGCCCAGCACCACGTATGGTCCTTCTTCCATGCCCTACCAGGAGTGATCCCTGAGTACAGAGCCCAGAGGAAGCCCCGAGCACAGCTGGGCCTGGCCCCCAAATTAAAAAATAGTCAGTGTTAAACTGACTATTGTTTATATTGAAAAGGATAAGTTACACCGTATATTAAAATGATGTCAAAGCATCAAAGAGACAGTATAGTGAGTGAGACGCTTGTCTTCCACATGGCCAACCTGGGTTTAATTTCCGCCAGACTGCATGGTTTCCCAAGCCCTGCCAAGGAGTGATCCCTGAGCACAGAGCCAGGAATCAACCCTGAGCACAGTGCCAGGAGTCGACCCTGAGCACTGCCAGGTATGGCCCCAAACCAAACCAACAAACTACACAGAATGTCAAGGCTTTGGAGGACGAGCACCGTGGTTTAAGAACACCTGCCCTGGATGCATATGGTCAGGAGTTCCAACCCCGGTCGGCCCACATGTGCCAAGTGGGATCCTGGCAGCTCTGCTGTGATCAGCAGTGCCGCAAGCGACTTCCGGTTGCACCACAGCAAGTGGCACAGAAAGGGCTGTGAGCCCTGGTGAGCACTCCAAGTAAATAGAAGTGTGAACACCATGGCCAGGAAGCACGACCTGTGGGACACCAAACCATGTGCCTCAACCTAGAACATGGCCCCCAGGGAGCCAATGTGCGAGCACTGCAGCTGAGAGCAAACCTCGGCCAGCACAGCCACCTGTTGTGTGACACACACCCCCCGCCCCCAGGGAGCATCACAGTCAGGTGTGTGTGTGTGTGTGTGTGTGTGTGTGTGTGTGTGTGTGTGTGTGTGCACTGTTGTCTCAAAGACCACGTTGACAACAACCAAGCAGAAGGGCCGGCAGAGGGACTACAGACACACAACCAAAGGACGGGCTGAGGTGTACGTGTGCTGGCACTTTTGTTTGGAAGAGAAAACCGAGAACTGGTCAATTGTAGGATAACATTGGTTTGTCCTTTCCGCCTTGCTGCAGGGAGCTTAGGTTTATTGAGTTACTCCCATCACAGTGCTCCTATTCCTCTGTGTTTCTTTGCAACTTCCTTCTTTGTGTTCTGTTGACTTGTAAATATTGTTTTTTTCTCTTCTCCTTAAGTCCTTTGCATAGTTAATTCAGAGCAATGTCCTTTTTGTATGGAAGACAGTTAATGCTATGCTTTTGTAACTTGGGAGTTAATTGACTCTGAATGATATTCACCTCCTGGACATCTGTTCTCTCAACTTAAGCCTCAGCTGTCCTTACTTTCTAGCACCACAAAAGCAGGGTCCCGACAAGGGACTGGATGGACCCAGGGCAAGCAGTGAGCTATGTGCTACCCTGGCATCGAAATGGACCTGGCCAAAGTGCCATAATACTTAACTATAAGTTAAGAGCTTGGTCATGGACAAATTCTGTCATGATCCAAAAAGCAATAACTAGGTTTGGACCCTGCTGGGGTTAGGAAAGATTAATCTGGTCTGAGCACTGTAATCTGAGTCTGTGGCGAGATGTCCCCAAGCTCAATGTATCTCTTACTATGTCCATACAAAATAACTAGTATTAAGAAGTAGAATAAAGATGTTAATTGAGATGTTAAGTTATAGGACTAAGGAGAAGAGGAACACCCCTGGGTGGTGTTTCTGCCCTGTCAATAAACATGGCTGCACGATAAAGATCTTCAGCCCCTGAGTCTGAGTGCTGCCTACGAGAGCTGGATGGCCTGCTGCTGCCTGACCCCACAACGATGGGGCTCAGGATCCTGACCGACGACCACGAAGGCACCTGTAAGAGGTGCTGGCCTCCCATTAGAAACTGTTTCTGGAAGTATCATGCTAAGCGAAATGAGTCAGAAAGAAAGGGATAGACATAGAAAGATTGCATTCATCTGGGGAACATAAAGTAACAAAATAGGAGACTAACACCCAAGAATAGCCGAGATAAGTACCAGAAGGTTGACTCCATGGCTTGGAGGTTAGCTGCACATGCTAGGGGAAGAGGCAGCTCAGATAGAGAAGGGAGCACCAAATAAAGGGTGTTGGGAGGATCCTCCCAGGACGGGAGATGCATGCTGAAAGTAGACTACAGACCAAACATGATTGCCACTCTATGACTCTTTTGCAAACCACAGCACCCAAAATGAGAGAGAGAACAAAAGGGAATGCCCTGCCACAGAGGCAGGGTGGGATGGGGGGATTGGGGGTGGGAGGGATACTGGGAGCATTGGAAGTGGAGAATGGGCACTGGTGGAGGGATGGGTACGTGATCATTGTATAACTGAAACCCAAACACAAAAATCTGTAAGTCTACAACTGTACCTCATGGTGTTTCACTAATAAAAATTAAAAAAAAAAAAAAAAAGAAAGAAACTGTTTCTGGGGGAGCCTGAGCAATGGCACAACAGCGGGGAGGGCACTTACCCTGCACGAGGCCGACATGGTTTCAACCCCTGGCATCCCCCTCCCCCCCACCCCTTTGCATGGCATTGTGGGACAAAGTCCTTGGCAGCCCGCCCCTGATGCCAGCCAGGAGCCCCAGGGTGGAGCTCACCTTGTAGAGGTAATCAGTGGCTTCCGTCATCTCGGAGAAATTGGCCTCGGACAGCCCAGCCTCACCCAGCACTCTGATCTTCTCTTGAATCAGGGGCCTGTCGGGGAGAAAAAGGCTGCCATGCACGATGAAAATGGTGGGGGTGGGGGGCATCCTGTCTACACACCCCCTTCCTGCTCTGGGGGAGGGGCTCTGATGCACATCCAGGACACCCTGCTCCTGCTTCAGGAGGGCTGTGACCCGCACAGTCTTTCGTCTGTTGGTCTTGGGCAGAAGCGCCCGTCCTGCAAAGCTGGCGCCGCCGTCTCCACTGTGAGCCAGCGCCAGGCCAGAGCTCTGGGTCTTAGGTCCAGATACCTGCAGGCCCGTATAGCAGGCAGAACGGCTGCCTGGTGGCACCAAGAGTTTTGCCCCTCTTGTTCCGAGCTACCCAGTGAACATGGCAACCAAAACACAGGCAATGGTGGTGGCCAGGCCTGGGGACACAGGAAGAAGTGGGTGGGAGGGCGGGAGAGAGGCGGAAGTAGTGGTAGAAGTCAAGGCAGAGGGTGTCAGGGAGGGGGGACAGACTGGGGGGGGTCTTCCCAGTTTTGGCAGCAGACATGAAGCCCAGGGCTGGCCATCTGACCCCCATCCTACAAAGGGTCCGGGGTTCACGGTCTCTGCCGGGCCAGGGGCAGAGGGGCCCATGCCCAGCCCAGCACAACCCTCCCAGGGCTGGGCCAACCCCCTACACTGTCCCCCAAAGGCAGGGAAGGAGACCAAGAGAAAGCGGGTGGTCCCCGCTAATGGGGCTTCGAGGTGGGTCCCCCAGACCCCGTCTAAGCAGCCGGCAGCCATACCACAGGTAGTCGTCAGCCGTGCCTCTGGCCACCAGGTAGTGGACGCTCACGGAGCTGGACTGGCCAATGCGGTGCACCCGGTCCTCCGCCTGGATCAGCACCTGCGAGGCCCCAGGGGAGGGTCAGCCCAAGGCCGCGCGCCTGGGAGCGCAAAGCATGCCCCGCCCTTTCCCACCGAGGACCAGTCACTGGACACTGGCACCAGGGCACCCAATGCAAGCCCAGCGGGAAGCTAGACCGGCAGCTGCGGGGGGGGACACATCCAACACGATGGAGGGGATGGGGGAGACCCAACGCGGAGTGCACACCCATGGGTGTGGGGCGCAGGGTGGCCCACAGACCCGGATGCGTCTGGAGCGCCGCTGTTTCTGCAGCAAACAGGTGAGCCCACTCACGTCCGCAGGGGCTGGGGGTTGCAGGGGCTGGGGAGGGTTGTGGCCCTCAGAGCATCAGAGAAGGCTGGGGGCAGGGTGGGGCGGGGCACAAGGACCAGCTACAGCTACAGCGCCTAGCAGTTGGCCTGTTGGCAAAGGCAGCCCACAGTGATGCACAAAGGACCTGGACTGTGGTCAGGAGCGCCCACCAGCTGCCAGGGAGGGTCAGCCACGTGCCCCCTAACTGTCTGAGGCCCATTTCTTCAGAGAGGCACCTTTTTATTATTATTATTTTTTCTTTTTATTATTATTATTTTTTTCTTTTTGGTTTTTTTTGGTCCCACCTGGTGATGGTCAGAGGTTCCTCCTGGCTCTGCACTCAGGAGTTACTCCTGGCAGTGGGGGGGGGGGACCCTATGGGATGCTAGGAATCGAACTCAGGTCAGCCGCGTGCAAGGCAAACGCCCTCCCCGCTGTGCTATGGCTCTGGCCCCAGAGAGGACCCTGAGAGGCCTTCAGGCCTCTGAAGCTTCTGTTTTCCCAGAGGCGGGTTGGGACCCCCCCGCCCCCCCCCCCCCCCCCCCCCCCCCCCCCCCGCACGGCTGTCTGAGGGCTGTGGTATGGGCGTTTTGAGGCCCTGGGGAAGTGGAAGGAAGGAGCGGACATGGGATATGGGGTGGGGGTTGCTCAGGAAAGCCCATTTCCCCCACAGGCAGCGGCGCCTGCCACCCCCGGGGCCGGCGCACCCCTCACCCCTGGGTTCCAAAAGAGCTCAGCGAACACCACCAGGTCGGCTGCGGAGAAGGTGAGGCCCATGTTGGCGGCTGTGATGGACAGCACAGCCACGGCGTGCCGCTCCGACAGCTGGAACTGCTGGCACAGGGTCTCCCGGTCTGCAGAGGATGTGGAGCCATCGATGCGGATGTGTGGCACGTTCTGGGGGGGGGGGGGGGTGGGAAAGAGAGAGGAAGAGAGAGAGAAAGAAAGAGAGAGAGAGACAGACACAGCGAAAGAGACAGAGCAAGAGAGACAGAGGGAGAGAGAAGAGAAAGAGAGAGAGCAAGAGAGAGGGACAGAGGGAGAGAGAGAAGAGAGATAGAGGGAGACAGAGAGAGGGAGAGAGAGAGGGAGGGAGGGAGGGAGGGACAGCGAGGGAGAGAGAGAGGAGAAGAGAGAGGGAGAGATAGAGATAGAGAGATAGAGACAGGGAGAGGAAGTGAGGGAGAAAGAGGGGGAAAGAGAGGGAGAGAGAGACAGAGAAACAGAAGAGAGAGGGAGGGAGAAAGAGAAAAGGAGGGAGAGAGGGGGAGAAGAAGAGTGAGAGAGGGAAAGGGGGAGGGAGGGGGAGAGCGAGAGAGAGGGAGATAGAAAGGGAGAAAGACATGGAGAGAGAGAGAGGGAGAGAGAAAGGGAGAAAGACATGGAGAGAGAGAGAGAGGGAGAGAGAGAAGGAGAGAGAGGAGAGAGAGGGAGAGCACTGTCGGTGCTGCCCCACTGGGCTGTCCTCAGCCTGCTGTGGCCACTCTCCTCTCTCACAGGGACTCTGACACTAAGTCACTAGGGCACACAGCAGTCTAAGCAGCCCACGGGGGCAGCCCTTGCCCCTGCTCCTTCACCCACTCCCCCCAACTCTCCTCAGTCACTTGAGGTGACCACCAAGTCCACAAGTTGGCTGCACGAGCTATATGGCGGCAACCGTGACATTCTTCTCTGAGTTCTACTTTGTTTTCTAAAATCTTGCCAACTCTCACCATCCTCAACACTGGCCAGTCTTTTTTTTTTTCTTTTTGGGTCACACCCGGTGATGCTCAGGAATTACTCCTGGCTCTGCACACAGAGAATTACTCCTGGCGGTGCTCGGAAGCGGGGGCGGGGAACCATATGGGGTGCCGGGGATCGAACCCGAGTCAGCCACTTGGCAAGGCACATGCCTTATTCGTTGTACTATCGCTCCGGCTCCAAGAACGGCCAGGCTAGTCTTGACCAACCAGGCAGTCTAGAACTGGGGCTGCCCAGACTAATGCTGGTGCCAATTCAGGCCAGGGTGCTTGGCCTCCCAAGGGGGCAGTACCCAGTGCGGGGCATGGAGATTTCCCAGCTTGTATGACACAGTGACAGATCCTGGTGTAACCCTACCCCCATCCCCCCTCCCCATCCCTTGCTCCTGTCTGGCTGTCCCTGTCATCACTCAGTCCAAACCAGGTCTTCCGTATAGGGCAAGGTAACTAAGACCATTAGGATCCCCGCAGGGACTGTTTTGGGACCATTTGGCACCATGTGGCCATCATTCTCTCTGCATTCCCTGCTTCCCTTCACGTCAGCCGTTGGTTTCTCCCTGCCTTTGGGTTTCCCTCCAGCCCTGTGCATCCTATAGTTTTATAAACAGGTTGCGGTCAGGAGTCTGCGACCCACCACAGGCACTATTCATTAATTTTAAATAAATAAATAAATAAATATTAATTTATTAATATTAATTCCCCCCCCCAGCCAAAGGAAGAAAATTGGGAAAAAAAATAATTTCCCTCTGCTCATCTCCACCCCCAGTGTCTACCTATCTGTCTTGCATTGCTAAAATTTTACTTAGTAAGAACATTCTAGACATGGAATCAAACAGTGTCACCTTTCAGGATAGGCTTTTTTAAAAAAATAAAAATAAAAAAATAAAACAAAACAATATAACCACCCCCTGGAGAGCCATTCAGGGGAGTGTCACTGCAGTCCATCCCTCCTCACTGCTGAGCTCAACCCACAGGTGACCGCTCACCTTTGGAGGGTGTCCTGGGCTGGCTCCAGCTCTGGGCCCCTACACAGCACTGCTGCAGACATGAAGGTGTCGAACAGCCACATTCTCAGCCTGCTGAAATCAAGGCTGGACACTCAATCCCCAAGGCTGTGACATGAGCAAGATTTTTTTTGGGGGGGGGGGCGGGAGGAGTGGGTTTGTTTCTTAGCTTTTTGGCAACACCTGGCAGTGTTCAGGGCTTATTCCTGGCTCTGAGCTCAGGGATCACTCCTGGCTGGGTTTGGGGGACCATATGGGATACTGGGGAATCATATCCCATTGATTGACCACATCAATGCAAGGCAAGTTGCCTTACCCGCTGTAAAATCACTCTGGCCCCCATGATAAGTTGTTTTAGTTTAGTGCATTTTCTCTTAAGGGGCATTGACTTTTATCCTAATGATAAAAAAAATACATGTGTGTGTGTATACATATATTTATATGGAAAATAAAAACATTATTGATCTATTTTTTCGGTCACTATTTCTCATTGTGTATGGTCTGTTTTAAAAGTAGCAGCCCAGAGGGCTGGAGTGATAGCCCAAGCGGGTAGGGTATTTGCCTTGCATGTGGCTGACCTGGATTTGATTCTCAGCATCCCATATGGGCCCCTGAGTATCGCCATGGGTAATTCCTGAGTGCTGAGCCAGGAGTGACCCCTGTGCATTGCTGGATATAACCCCAAAAGCTAAATAAATAAATAAATAAAATTAAAGTATATCATTAAAGAAAAATTTAAAAAAAGGAGCAGCCCAGTACCTACAGCACAAGGTTGAGGCCCTGGATTCAATCCCTGGCATCCCCCTACAAGTAAAGTTTTATTTCTTGCTTTTCTTCAATTAAGAGGGAAGTGAACTAATGAAAAACTTTTCTATGATACACTGCAACAGGTAGGGCATTTGCCTTGCACACAGCTGACCCAGGTTCGATCTTCAGCATCTTATATGTTCCATCAAGCACCGCCAGGAGTGATCCCTGAGTGCAGAGCCAGGAGCCCTGAGCAATGCTGGGTGTAGTCCCAAAGCATAACACTAAAATGAAACTCCCAAACTTTTCTAACAGCTGGAGCGATAGTATAGGGGCAAGGCACTGCCCTGCATGCCGTTGACCCAGCTTTAATCCTTGGTACTACATGTGGTGCCCCTGAGCAATGTCAAAGGAGTCACCCCTGAGTGTACATGCACACGTGCACACACACACACACACACACATCTCTCCTATGTGACAAGAGTATAATTAATCTTTCATCTATTTCTTCATGTTTAGGGGAACTTGTAAGTTTTGCTATTAAAAAAAAAAGGACCGATTGTCAAATATCTACAACCAATAGATGAATGGATTAAAAGTAAACCCAACCTGATCATAAAGTAACAAAAAAGAAGACTAACACCCAAGAACAACCGAGATAAGTACCAGGAGGTTCACTCCATGGCTTTGAGGCCAGCTGCACACTCTAGGGGTAAAGGCAGCTCAGACAGAGAAGGGAGCACCAAATAAAGGGTGTGGGGAGGATCCTCCCAGGATGGGAGATGCATGCTGAAAGTAGACTATAGACCAAACATGACTGCCACTCACTGCCTCTTTTGCAAACCACAGCACCCAAAAGGAGAGAGAGAACAAAAGGAAATGCCCTGCCACAGAGGCAGGGGGGATGGGGGGATGAGGGGTGGGAGGGATACTGGGATTAGTGGTGGTGGAGAATGGGCTCTTGTGGAGGGATAGGTACTTGATCACTGTATAACTGAAACCCAATCACAAAAATTTGTAAGTCTATAACTGTACCTCATGGTGTTTCACTAATATATATTAAAAAAAAAAACTATAGTTAATGCATCACTATGACTATCATCCCATTAGTCATCGATTTGCTTGAGCAGGCGCCAGTAACGTCTCCATTTATCCCAGCCCTGAGATTTTAGCAGCCTCTCTTTACTCATCCTTCCCAATGGTGCCACATTGGAGGCTCTTTCAGGGTCAGGGGAATGAGACCCATTATTGTTAGTGTGTTTGACATATCGAATACGCCATGGGGAGCTTGCCAGGCTCTGCATACAATGCATTAATACAGACAATGGATTATTAGCAATAAAAAAATAAATAAACTTGTAGAGTTGGAGTGATAGGACAGTGGGTAGGTGCTGGTCCTGCATACGACTGACCTGAGTTTGATCCCCAAATACCCCAAATGGTCCTCGCAGCCTTGCCAGGAGTGATCCTTGAGCGCAGAGCCAGTCAGGAGCAGTCATGAGTCCCCAGCGGGGCAGTCCCCCCAAGCGAACAGAAAGGGCCTGTCTGTCACATCAGCCCTGTGGCCCTGTGCTGCCCTGTAGGTACCTGGAGGGAACTGAACATGTTCAGATGTTCTTCTGGAAAGGAAACTGGCATTACAGCTGGAACTTTTCTTTCCAGTTGACCATAGTCCTTTGAGTTTTAGCAGACTAGGTGAAGGATAAATGACCAAATGGGGCACAAAAGAACAGGTCTATTTTAAACTTGTTCATTGCCTAATAGGCTGGAGCGATAGCACAGCAGGTAGGGTGTTTGCCTTGTATGCGGCCAACCCGGCCGACCTGAGTTCAATTCCTTTACCCCTCTCGGAGAGCCCAGCAAGCTACTGAGAGTATCTTGCCCACACGGCAGACCTGGCAACTACCCGTGATGTATTCGATACGCCAAATACAGTAACAACAAGTCTCACAATAGAGATGTCACAATCAATGAACAACGGGAGGACAGTGCTACAGTGCATTGCCTCACGGAGGCATAAATGCCACATACAAGTGGATGGTTTAGTAAGAATAACAGAGCATCTCGGTTAGCCCCAGAAGTCTCCTCATGCCCATTTGAAGCCTCTCTGCTTCTGACCACCCACCCATCTCCAAGTTATCGTGCACCTACTCTTTGTCACTTTAGGTTAGTTGGTGTTTCTCTGAAAGCATTCTAGAAATGTAGGATTATATAGCCTGAACTTTTTTTCTGGTTTCAGCATATTCTGAAGTTCATTGCATATACCAACAGTTGATTCTTTTTTTGATTTCTATTTTTTGTTTTTGGGGCCACATGACAGGGCTGGCTCAGGGGTTGCTTCCAATGGGGCCAAGGGGCCCACATGGGTGCTGGGGATCAGACTTGTACCTCCTGCATTGGCTCCAGT